TCTATCAGGGCTGAACATACAAGGACCCCAAGAGCCCTACACAACAGACCTTGATTCTTGGGGCCTAGGGATGCAGTCCCCTCAACAGTCCCGGGCTTCAACACCACCACAGGTGGGTAATCCCTACTAGGTAGAGGTGGGTACTTGATATGGTCCACCACAGAGCACAGGAAACACTCAGGCAGTGAGGGTGTCCGGGGAGCCCACACCCATCTTCTACCACATGCTCTGCTGCTGTATGCTTAGACAGGTTCTAAGGCCCCAAACCCAAAAGGCACCTTTGGTCTGATGAAAGTGTCGGCTGTCATGCTATTTGGAACATGTTCCAGTAGCTATCACAGGTGAAGCCCTGCTTTGTTACCAGCTCAGGTCAGCTTCTATACTCACGCTCTGAAAAGATAAAATGGTAGGTCCTGGCACCATATAAACTAAAGCTGCAGGAAGGAAGTGGCAATGGGTAGACCAGAACCTAGCCCTAGTTGGCTCCCTGCTGGCACACACAAACACTTGTGCATCACACTCCACAACTAGGTAATAGAGGACCCAAGAAATGTCATTGGAAGGGACATGCAGAAGCAGTCACTGGGCCATTTCTGCCAACCCTGGTTTGGTATCTCAAGATTTGTGCACCGATAAGTCAGCCCAGCACCCCACAGGGAGTGCTTTCAGACGAACAGGCCTGTCCCTCCTGCTCTCCCACAGTCCAGCAGCCAGCATTCACAGGGCACCGCAGGCAAGGTCAACTCATGCTGTGACTTGCTTCTACAGCTTGTTCCCATAACTCACTGCCGTGTGCACATGCTAAGCCTGGGGGTTGAGTGGAAACAGTGAAGAGTGTGTCCTATGGGTTCTGTCATAGCCTGATTTCACAGCTGTCTATTAAAAAAATTCCTAAAGAAAGTCCTCCTCCTCCTAGGGTTCTGTACACATGAGGAACTGGCTTCCAGCAGGTCCTCTCCACCAGGACCTTAGGAAATGAAGCTTTGCTGCCCCCTGCTGACCAGAGTGAGTACACAAAGAACCTGGCATTCACAGAAGGCAGACCCTGCAAAGTCACACTCACTCTGCTCAGCCTAGGGGAGACTGAGGGTCTAAAAAGATACAGCCACCTGAGCTCTGGAACCTGTCATGACGCCTGAGAAGACCATGTGTGTGCATTCTGGGTTTCCTGCACCACAGCTCTGTGGCCACCTCACCTTGCATAAGGCTCTTAATGACCCTTTTCCCTCACAACTCCTGGTGGCCATGGCACCCAGCAACATACTGACCAAGGGCCACTGACGGTGCTATTCACACACTTCTCACAGCCTCCATTCTAGGAGCCCCTGCCCCACCCTGGCTCTCCTTGGCAGGACTTGCCTCATCCTGCCCATATCTCTGAGTTAGAATCCAGACAGATGACAGCTGGAAATGGATCAAGCTTACTCTCTGCAAGTGTTCGGGACAGAGAATGGGAAATAAGATTCCAAAACATGCTCCATACAGCACAATACCAGTTTAGCTTCATGTCCAAGTTCAATAAAGGCAGATGCCAGACAGCATCTGCTAGGCAGTGTCATGCCCAGGTTCACTGCACCAGCTCAAGCCGACTACAGCAGGTGACACACCATGTGCAGGAAGGGGTGGGAGGAAGGGTGCTCACTGGTGTCTGCCACAACTCCTTCAACCCCTGCCGAAAGAGCAGGCAGGGGAGCCATGAACCACTTCACATGGGGGTTTGGGATCCCACAGAGAAGACCCTCTAGCCCATAGGACAAAGCTGGGTTTATTGGCTGGGGATGGGAGAGACCTCTGGAACAGCCTCACCTCTCCTCCCAGGGCAAGAGATAAAGATGCATAGGTCAGGAGCCCCACAGCCCAGCTGCAGAACCCTGCCCCTTCCAGGAGGCTGCCTGTCACAGGAAGGCAAGCTCAGCAGAGCAGGAGGGAGCTGGTCCCCAAGGCACCAAGAGAAAGATGAGAGATGACACTAACAAGCACTCACAAGGACAAAGGTACTACCACCTCCTGGGGTTACAAGCCTGCATTCGATAGGGCAGCCTGTGTGTGCACATGGGGGGTCATGGCAGTTGTCTATCGTCCTTGGGTCCATACCAGCAATAGCCACCTCAGCTCCTGAACCTGAAGTGTGGAATTATTTCTGAGTCAGTCCTGGGCAAGGATGAGGCATGGGGCAGGAGATGTTGCAATGATACGGGCAGAAAAACATCCAGGAGCATAGCTTATACCTCTGAAACTAGCAGGTCATGGAGCAAACTGTGGGGAGCAAATGAAGTCCTGAGTGACAGCATATTGTTGACATAGGCTCAGCCATGCCAAGGACCCCAAGGCCTCAGACCCATAGAAATGGCAAAGCCTTCCTCTGGTCCAGGCACAGTGTTTACCACTGACCAGTGTGCAAACACTACCAACTATAGCTTCCTCCTCCAGATGACCGCTACCTGAGACTGCTCCCCTACATAGACACCTTGTGCTGGCTAGTTTGGTGCTTGATGAAAACTAGAGTTGGGGCTGAAGAGATGGCTCAGAGGTTGAGAGCACCGACTGCTCTTCCAGAGGTCCTGAGTTCAACTCCCAGCAACCACATGGTGGCTCACAACCATCCCTTATGAGATCTGGTGCCCTCTTCTGATGTGAAGATATATATACATGGAAGCAGAATGTTGTATACATAATAAATAAAATCTTAAAAAAAATAAAAAAGAAAGAAAAGAAAACTAGAGTCATGGCCAGGCGTTGGTGGCGTATGTATGCCTTTAATCCCAGCACTCGGGAGGCAGCGGCAGGCAGATCTCTGTGAGTTTGAGACCAGCCTGGTCTAAAAGAGGTAGTTCCAGTACAGCCTCCAAAGCCACAGGGAAACCCTGTCTTGAAAAAAAACAAAACAAAAAAAAAAACCAAAAAAAAAGAAAAAGAAAACTAGAGTCATCAGAGAGGGACCCTCAAATGAGAAAATGCCTCCTTAAGACTGAGCTATACGCAAGCCTGCAGGCCATTTTCTTAGTTAGTGATTGATGTGGAAGGGCACAGCCCATTGAGGGTGGTACCATCCCTGGGCTGGTAGCCCTGTGTTCTAGAAGAAAGCAGGCTGAGTAAGTCACGAGGAGCAAGTCAGTAAGCAGCACCCTCCATGGCCTCTGCATCAGCTCCTGCTTCCAGGTTCCTGCTCTTGTGAGCTCCTGCCTAGCTTCCCTCAATGGACTGTGATATGTAAGTCAAGTTGTTTTGGAAATGGTGTTTTGTCATAGCAATAGAAACCCTAAGACATCCCTGAGTTCCCAGATTGCTGGGTACCCTCCATCAAAGTAACCACAGCCCGCCAGAGGCCACCCTACTCCAGCTTTCCAGTATGCGTGTCTGTCCTTTCTTTGTTCCTGCTTGCCCCGGTCATGTTTTCAGGACCAAGCTGTGCAGGACACACAAGAGACTGAGTCATAGATTCAGCTTCCTCTGTGACCCATGCCCACTCTGACACAAGTCAGGGCCCTCTCAACCTGCCTGGCTCAGGTAGCAAGCCAGTCGGGAACAGAAGTGGCCAGCAGAAAAGGTACCAGGCAACCAAAAGAATCATGTGGAGAGGGTTCTGAGATGCAGACCTGGGAGGCCTAGGTTTTGAACGCCTCAGCCAGGTGGCAATGAGATGAAGGACTGGGATTTACATGGGGATTGGGGGGGGGGGTGCCCCCAACAGCTCTGAAGGCATTGCTGTGCCCAACAAGCTGCTTATCTGTTGTGCCCCTGGGCAGAGAAGGAGCCAAGTCTACCCTATTTCACCAGGACTCTGTGAGGTCTAACAGTCCCCCATGTCTAGCCTAAAGTTAACTGAGGACAGATATGTGACAGCTAGAGACACGGACAGTCAGAGGGGCCCCCCAAGAAGGTGGGGCTGATTAGAAGACACGTGGTATATACACCATGGAAACTGCAAAGAAGAGTCCCTGGAGGTATCTCAGAGACCACGCTTGGTATTCCGGGACCAAGGTTGGCTGTAGAACTGAACAAGTGGTGTGTGTATTCAGGAGCACCTCCTCCTGTGACATCCTGTGCCCCAAACACATGCACTGAGGCAAGAATCATGGGCAAAGACAACCAAGGCTACTCTCTGGCCAGGGCTATCATGATCCTGAGGGGCCCTCCCAAAACCCCCAAAACCCATCTCCACCTCACACTAAAACTCCAGACCCTATGCCCGCTCAATGGGGCAGACATGGGAAATACACAGTTAAGGAGGCCAAAGGCACAGGAATAAATTCTGCATAAGATAAACAGATAAGAGTAAAAAAAAAAAAAAATGCCAGTGTTTGGGCTGGGCATGGTGACACACGCTTTTAATACCAGCACCATTTGGGAGGCAGAGGCAGGCGGATCTCTGTGAGTTCAAGGCTAGCCTGGTCTACAGAGTGAGTTCCAGAACAGCCAGGTCTGTACAGAAAAACCCTGTCTTGGAAAAAAAAGAAAAGAAAAGAAAAGAGAGTACCTAGGGTCACAATACTGGTCAGGGCTAACTACCTGGCAGTCACAAGGCCCACCTGTTTTCTGCCTTCTTGTTAATATACAGGCATAGCATCAACTTTGTAGGTAACTTTATCTATTATGTGCTCATGAATTTATGAATGAAATGCCAAGCGGTCTGGTACTTGCTTCAGAAGTGCTCAGTGTATGAGCACTAAGGGCAGGCATTTGGCACATGGAACTTCTCAACACTATTCTTTCTACTTAGTCTATTTTAAATTCTTTTCTATAAAAGTAACATCTTTTTGTTTTATTTTGAGACAGGGTCTTTCTACATAGCCCTAACTATCCTGGAACTTGCTCTGTAGACCAGCCCAGACTCGAATGCACAGAAATCCGCCTGCCTCTGCCTCTGCCTCTGCCTCTGAAGTGCTGGGATTAAAGGTGTTCGACACCCACATCTGGCCTAACATTGTTTTAAAAGCACAGGCTAGCCCACAGGCAATTGTTAGGCTGCCCTCTTGCCTCTCCGAAGGTAGGGGACTCACCTCTCTTTAGGGACACCACACTCTTCTGGTCCAGTTCCAGCCTCTGCACCAAGGCACTAGGGTCTATCTGTGTCCTGGCAAAGATGTCATTGTGAACCAATGTCCAGTCCTGCAGTCCCAACAAGAGAAGAGAGGACGACATCAAGTTGACCTTCAGTTTCGGAGTCAAAATAGAGAAGATGGCAAGGCAAAAATCCTCTACTTCTCAACCAGAGAGGCCCTGGGAGGGCAGCTGTGTCCCTGTTCCCAGATCAGGCCTGTACCCAGGCTTTTCCTTCCTATCCCCGATCAGACTGGGAACCATCAGGCCAGCTGTGTCTATCAGAAAAGCAGAGTAGAGCTCCACCAGCAACAGAGACTGAGCACGGCCTCCACGCAAACATATGCCGGTCCAAGAGCAGCTCTGAGGGAGGGCATCACTGCTGCTTGCAACTGTATGCCTAAATCCTCCCAGGAGTGAGCAGAAGGAATCTTAATCTTCTAAGTCCTCCACCACCTCTGAGGGTCAAAATAGGGATACCAAGCACACAGCAAGACAAAGATAGGACTGGCCAAAGGGGCTTAAGAACAATCTCTGTCAACAAACAGCTTAAGCTTGAGCCAAGTTATCAAATTAAAAGGAAAATGGGGGAAATAAGCAATGGGAAGATGGAGAAAGGGATGGGAAGAATTCTCAAATAGTTTAGCCGTATGGACAAATAAAAAGCTGGGCACAGTAGGCTACAGCCTAGGCAGAAAGTGACAAGTCGTCCTGATCTATAGTGATACCCTGTCTCCAAAATAAAATAAAATACATAAAACAATGAAATGAAATAAATAAAATCCCAAAAAAACAACCAAACAATGGTAGACACAGGTCAGTGGTAGAACAATTACCTAGATTCAACTCCTAGTACAGAAAAATAATGCACTAATTAAAAATGAAAAAGACGCTAGGCGGTGGTGGCACACACCTTTAATCTCAGCACTCGGGAGGCAGAGGCAGGCAGATCTCTGTGAGTTCAAGGTCAGCCTGGTCTACAGAGCGAGTGCCAGGACAGGCTCCAAAGCTACACAGAGAAACTCTGTCTCAAAAAAAACAAAAAAAAAAACAAAAAACAAAAAAACACAACAAAAAAAATTTAAAAACAACAACAACAAAAAACAAGACATCCAAGCAAACAGTATCAATAATGATTGCTACAATACTAACCTGTTTCCCCGCAACAAAAAAATAAACTCAGAAATGGTCTATATGAAAAATTAGATGGTACCTCTATACACTAGTGATGAATAAGCTACCTCCAAAATTCAGAGAAAAAAAATTCTATTGGTAACAGCATCAAAAATAATAAAATACTACCAGCCAATGGTGAATGCACACCTTTAATCCAAGCACTTGGGAGGCAAAAGCAGGCGGATCCCTTGAGTCTGGGGCCAGCCTGGTCTACAGAGTGAGTTCTAGGACAGCCTGGGCTACACAGAGAAACTCTGACTCAAAAAACAAAACAAAAAAATACAATATTTAAGGTCCAGTAAAATGACTCAGTAGGGAAAGGTATCTCCATCAAGGTTGATGAGCAAAGCTGAATCCCAGAACCCATGTGGTGGGAGAGACTCAAGTCCTACAAATTGTTCTCTGACCTCTCTACATGTGTACCCCATGGCATTCCTGTGTCCAGACAAAACAAAAATAAATTATGTAATATTTAAGAATAAACAACAAAATTAGTACAAGAATTTAATCATAAAAACTGCAACATATATTTAAAGGGATAAATGGTAAGTTATCTTGTTCTCATTAACTAAAAGATCAATATTCTTTTTTTAAAAAGATTTTATTTATTTATTATGTATGCAACATTCTGCTTCCATGTATATCTGCACACCAGAAGAGGGCACCAGATCTCATAATGGATGGTTGTGAGCCACCATGTGGTTGCTGGGAATTGAATTCAGGTCCTCTGGAAGAGCAGCCAGTGCTCTTAACCTCTGAGCCATCTCTCCAGCCCCAAAATCAATATTCTTAAGACGGCTACATCTCCTAAACTGCTCTAAATATTAGCTAAAAACTCCATCATATGTCTACCAAGAAGGCTCAGTGGGTAAAGATACTGGCCACCGAATTCAATCCCTGGAACCACATAAAAGGAGAGAACTGATTCCCATGAGTTGTCCTCTGTCCTCCACAGACATGCCTGGGCATACATGTGTCCATATGTAGACACAGTAAACATATTAAAAAAAAAATCCACACTAAGTCAGGTATTGGTGGTGCATGCCTTTAATCCCAGCACTCAGAAGGCAGAGGCAAGCAGATCTCTGTGAGTTTGGGGCCAGCCTGAGCTATAGAATGAGTTCCAGGACAGACTCCAAACCAATACAGAGAAACCTTGTCTTGAAAACAAACAAACAAACAAACAAACAAAAAAACCAAAAAAATCCACACTAGATGTCTTTTTTTTTTTTTTTTTTTTGCAAAAATTGACTCATTGATACCAAAATCCATAAGGGAATGCAAAAGACACATCGGGAGATCGGAAGAGTCACACAGTCCTGTAAAAGAAGGTGCTTGAGGACATACATCTCTAGAGCTAAAACTGACTCAAAACACTCTAATCCAAGCTGTGTGGTACTGCCATAAAGACCAATGGGAGAAAACTGAGTTAAAGCCAGGACTCTAGAGCCAGGTTTTGGCAAACACCAGCAACTTCACTAAGTATCTGGGCATCCTCCAGGATTTATTAACTCTTAAGAAATCTTATCTATCGGGGCATGGTGATGCATGGCTTTAACCGAAGCACTTGGGAGGCAGAGGGAGGGAGGCAATCAATCAATCTCATCTTGGAACTAGAGAAATGGGTGGCTCGTTGACTAAGAGCACTTGCTGCTCTTGCAGAGGGCCTATGTTTGGTTCCCAGCACACCCATGGTGGCCCACAACCATCCCTAACTCTAGTTCCAGGAGATCCACACACGCCAGCTTCTAACAGCACCAGACACACATGTGATATATGCATACGTGCACTCAAAACACAGGTACAAAATAAAAGATTTTTAAAAAATCTCATCTGCCGCAATCACAAATGAGACTGTCAGCTTTACAGGTGTGTGACACACGGCACACAGTAAACGCTTGACAAAAAAAGCTTTAACAATACTGTTGGGAAGCCACTGGCCCCTCGGTCCAAAGATGCCCCCTCTGCTGCTCCTATGCAAACCAGAAAACATTGCCAAGGCAGCTGAAGGAGAAGCACCAGGCAAAGAATATGTGGACACATAGCGCAACGCTGACGAACCCTGACAACATCGCGCCAAGAGTCAAAGAACCCAACACAAGAGACCACAATCTCCCTGCATTCACACAGACTGTCCACAGCAGAGGCCAAAGGCAGATTCCTGGTTGCACAGCGCTTCTTTGCGGGTCACCTAACTTGAGGAACCTCTCCTTTGCTCGAAGCCCGGAGCGATTTTAAAGAGCTAGCATTTCCGCAGCGTGGTGGGATGCTCTCCTCCTCCTCCTCCTCCTGCAAGGGAGCCGCACACTTCAACCAAGAGGGCAACCGATGAAGGCACAACGGGTGCCTTCTAGTTAGGGACCGGGTCAGGACCCTAACTAGAGGGGCCGGGACACACACAGTGGAGGTGGCACCCCCGGTGTGTGGGACAACAACCAGCCCTGCTCTGC